TTTCTTTTTTTTTTTTTTAAAAAAAAAGAATAAAGAATAAAAATATTTTGTGTGTTTATGATTTTTAATTTGTTTGATGGTAAAGGTTAGTTGACATGTTGGATCAGTACCACAAGCTGTCAGGCAAGAGGCTTTGGGATGCCAAGCATGAGGTAAATAACAATTATAAACAAATTAAAAGCCCTAGTTTTTGTTTCAAGGTTTGCTAAAAAAAATTGTAGCTTGTTCAAAAGGAATAATCTACAGAAAAAAAACATGGTTTTTTCCTAAAGTATGCAAGAAAAATGTCACAAAGCATGAGATTTTTGTGATCTCTATGTAGTATGCAGCTTTTTGTACGTTCTCTCTCTAGATCTATAATCTATTCTTGACTCCCTTTGTTTTTATTACATTTTTTTTTTTCTTTTTCTGATAAAAAAATCACATAAAACTGAATGATGAGATGTTACATCCATTTGACAGATCTGGCAAAAAATTGTCACTCCCTCTTTCCTTTGGTTGCAAGAATTTATGAAAGAAATTTATGGACATCACTTCAGTTGTCTTAGCCCAAGAAAGGGAAAAAACTTATGTTTGAACATGTACCTCAATAGATCCAGTTGTGGGAGTCCCTATTTTTGGGGGAAAAGAGGGTTTTTTTTTTTTTTGGAGATGCTTCTTGATCTGTTGGTTTGAGGATTGATTTACATGGTCATAACATGGAAAATGATTGGTTAAAAAGATGGATCTGCTTATTTTCTCGTGTCATTCATGTTTTTATGTTCATAATAATTACATATTACTGTTGGTTTTTTTACTGCAATGACTTTTTAACAAAATAAATTTCAGCATCTGGACAATGAAATCAACAGAGTCAAGAAAGAAAATGACAGCATGCAGATTGAGCTCAGGTTTCATTCAATTTTAAGTCTATTTTCCTTTTCTATTTTAATTTCTTGTTTAATTTCTTGTTTCAATATACCATTTGTTTGAATTTAGGCACTTGAAAGGAGAAGATATCTCAACTTTGAATTACAAAGAGCTTATGGTGTTAGAGGAAGCCCTAGAGAATGGGATGACAGCCCTTAAAGCCAAACAGGTCCTTATAATTTCTCCATTCATTCCTCTCTTTCAATTCTTTGAATCTATTTTTTTTTTTTTTTTTTTGTTCAAATTAACTTTTTGCTTTCCTTTTTCTTTTTGTGACAGATGGAGTTCGTCCGCATGATGAGGAAACATGTATGATTACGAAAAAAAAATTGCTATATATTCGGCTTAGTAGACATTTTCTATTTCTCCAAAATTTCCTTTAGCTTCTACATGATATGCCTAATTTAAGCTCAGTACTAAGACACACACATACACACATACAGAGATCGAGATTGCATATATTTTGCTAATGTTTGTTGGTGTTTATTTCAGAATGAAATGATAGAAGCGGAGAATCAGAACCTTCAGTTCAAGCTGGTATATACAACCACACTTTATTATTCAACTAGTGCAAATTTGGCTCTCTTCACTTCAAAACAACATTTTTCTCTTCTTTGTTGAAAGTTCCTTTAAAATTGAACTATAACACGAGTGTATATTTGTTTATTTGTTTTGTAATCCAAATGTATATTAATGGTGTTGTGAACAGCGGCAGCTGCATCTCGAGCCAATGGACGAAAATGTGATGGAAGCTCACCCAGGAGTGTATGATCCTCATCATCATCATCATGGGCTTGCTGATTATGAAGCCCATCAACAAATGCCTTTCGCATTTCGGGTACAGCCCATGCAGCCCAATCTACAGGAGCGCTTCTAGTTATGTGACAGTAAGCTTTGATTTTATCTAAAAAAAAAGGAAAAATCTGAGTGGTTGATATATGTGACAGTTAAGTAAGGTTGTGGACTTTGTTTGTTTGGACATGTTTTAGCAGATCCCTTGTGTGTGATTAAGGTTTGCATGTGGTTGTCTTGTCAAGACCTATTTTTCTATTTGCTGTATTGAGCTGACTTGTGAGCCATTATGTTCTGTAACAATATGTGTTGAATGCTGTTTTTTAAAGTTTTGCCACTTGACTAACCACTCCACCTTTCTTTCAACTTATTCTTATTCTAGAGGCCTTTCAATTCGTTGCAGCATATTATACTTGAACTTTCACTCAACTACTTACACATTTGTTTCAAAAAAAACTATTTGGTTAAATTACCTGTATTGTGCCTTTCGATTTAAAATTTTGGATCCCCTACTATATAATAATATTACCAATATGGTAAATAGCCATTTCATTCTGTACGTAGAAGATGAAAGAAAAATGAAATATAGTCATTTTGTAGTATTAGATGCTTTTTAGTCATTTTGACATGAGAAAGGACCAAAATACTCCTCCATAATTTTTCGCGTAAGCTATTTCTTGAGTCCCAAAAATGACTTCGAGAATTCCAAAAATTATTTGGATGCTTTCTAGAACCTTTAAATAGTACTCCCTCCTTTTTTTAATGAATGAATTGCACACTAATTAAGAATATTTTTTTTTTGCCAATAATAACCCTCATTAATGAGGATAGGAATGGATGTTTTGAGAAAATATAAAGAGTGTATGAAAAGACGTAGTGTATTTATTAGCTAGATAAGAGTAATAATGGAAAAATATGTACAAAAGATCCAAAACGTCATTTATTTAGACAATTGTTGATAAAGCTAAAATGACATTTATAAAAAAAAAAAAGGAGGTAGTATCTTGAATCTTATAATTAATTATTGGAATTCCAGAAACGGTTTATGGAATTCATAATCAATATCTTGAGTTCTAAAATCGATTTATGGAATTCTACAAATGATTTTTGGGTGTAAAAAATAGTACATTATTTGTTATTGAAATATTTGGAAGTAAGGATACACTATAAGAAAATAATGAAATTCAAACGGAAATATATTCAAATAGATATTTTTCAATGCTATTATTCCCGTTGGAATTTTTCAATGGATTCCAACGGAAATTCCAACAAAAATATTTCCGTTGGAATGAGTTTTCCATTGGAATTTCCTTTGGATTTTGACGATTTCAACGGTAGATTTTCCAACGGGGGTGGAAATAAAATTCTAGCGGTAAAAAGCCGTTGGAATCATCAAATTCCATCTAAAATTCCAATGAAAAACACACTCCAACGGAATATTTTCGTGGGAATTTCCGTTGGAATCATTCCAACGGAAGCTATACCATTGGAATATCTGTTGAAATTTCCAATGGAATAAATTACCATAGGATTTTCCGTTGGAATATAACATTTTTTTTGTAGTGGTAAGCGTATCATTTCACCATGCAAAATGACTATTGTTGACGGTGGGTAGCCAACGGTTACGGTAAATTTGCTTACGGCAGTATAATTAGGGATTATCGTATAATTATGGTGTGCTTCATTGATTTGGAATATGAGGAGATTGAAATAAAAAAGATATGTGCAAATACGATCAAGACACCAATAGATCGACAAGGAAATTGTTCTCGAATGTTTTTATTAAATAATTATACAACAAAATGTTTAGAAGTATATGATTTTGGGAGATCAGTTTGTATAGTGTATATGTAGGTGGTGTCTATTGATTGCTTGATCGATCGTCTTCGTCTCTTTTGGACCCCAGGGTCAGTATTTATACAAAAAAAAAAGTAATTGTGCGCATTAAATTTCAATTATCAACTCATCAATAAGAATCTGAAAACGAAGTCTCATGCAAAAGTCTCAGAAATAAGTCTCAAAACATGTCTCAGTAATCATAGAGGAAGCAATAATGTTCAACATAAAATAATATGACCACCCTGTCGTCCGTGCTCGACACCAACTTGCTCAACATGAAAGGGGAAAAATGAAGAGGGTGAGCAAACAACTAGCTCACTGAGGATGATCTAGGCAAATTAAACACGTAATAACATATATCGTCATTATTGTACGCATATCTAAATGAATCCATTCACCGAATAGGGACATATAAATCAAGGCATTAATATAACCGGGACACTGAAAATCGGGACAATGTAACTCAACAATGCGGTCACGCGGCTCTGGGTGCACTAGCATATATGGCCCGTCGGCTCATGTATATATCTTAAGGAACACTGAACTCATCAACATTGTGGTCGCACGACTCTAATACACCCAGTAGATAATTAGCCCGTCGACCCATGAAAATAAACTTGCCTGAAGGCCCTTTGCCATTTTCTTTCCCGAAGGTCCCAAAGTCCGAAGACAATGGTATTTTACCGTCAATTCTTTGCCCAAAGGCACAATTTACCGTCAATTCTTTGTCCGAAGGCCCTGCAACATGTATATACAACAATAAAGATAGAATGAAATTATAATGAATAATTGCATAGAAAATCCCCACATCGACTTTAAAGAATGCAAATGATGAATGAAATGGTCGCCGGTCGTCTCACGAACTCGACTCCTTGAAATCTACATGGAAATTATTTAAAATTAATATAATAGTTTACTTAATAAATTCTTGACTTAATTGATGAATTATTTTACTTAATATATTCTTAAAATAAATCCTTTAACTTATTAATTAATTTCTTTAATTAATTAATTTTTTCTTAGCCTGGTTCATTAATTTAATAAATTTTTTCCTTAAATATATTGATTTAAGGCTCGGAATTTTTTTTCCTTAAGCTCGACTAAAGTTCTCGGATCATCTAACTCAAGGCTCGAAATTTGATTTTTTAGCTCGGCTAAGGCTCGACTTCAAAATAATTAAAGCTCGGTTCAGTTTATGATTAAGACTCGAAAAACATGAAAAAGTGTCCGCCGTCCTGGTCTCGGGTCTGATCGGCTTGCACGGGCCGTGACTAGATACTGCCGGGCCGAGCCTAGGCCTGCGAGGGTCTGCTGGATCGGGCTTGGGGTGCTGCTGGTCATCACTAGGACGCTGGGCGCCAGCACGGGAACTTGTCTCCTCAAATTGACCTCCTTCGCCATCACCCATTGCTGCTCTTTTCCTCGAATCGAGCTCCTTCGCTGAATTAGATTTTCATATCTTAACATTCAGGTACGGAATTAGGGCTGGGTTAGGGTTTCTTGTCTTAACATTCAGATACTGAAGGGCTGGGTATACCAGATGTAAGCTGATCTAAATCTCAACAGAGAAATATCAGCAGTCGTGCGAGTACCCAGCCGTTAACCCTATCCTTGTCAAACGACAAATCTCGTTTCGGTGTTGTAGCTAGCCAATTCCGCCAGAACCGGAAAGCAGCCGGAGAAGAGCAGGGGTTGCCCTCAAACCTCAGAAAAAGCAGGTTTGCATTTATGCCTTCGAGCTATTTTGACCAATGAATTTTAAAATTTTTACTTTAACAGTGAATGCTTGATTTGGTTGTTCAATTTGTACACAGTTGTTTGAAATTTTAATTGTGAAACTTTCATTTTAGAACAATACAATGGCACCAACCAAACAAGTCTGTATATGTGTCGATAGTGAAATTGCTTTCCACCATTAATCCATTAATCCAAATTCTGCTGCCATTTCAACTGAGTCTGTCCAGACCTGTACGCCAACATTGATTGAGGTAAAATCGAGTTTCATTTTTCTTCCTCCCATGCCCAGTTTATTGTTGCTCTGTGTTGCAAGCAAGTGTTTATAATGCTGTCCATGTTGTAGATTTGGATGAAAACTATGGGTAATTGTGAAAAATCCTCTAAGGCGCTTGACTTTGAACGGTCATTAAGTGAAGATTGATAATGAAGTTGCTGTAATAACAGTGAATTATTTTAGATTTTCCTCGAGTATAATTTGAACCCTTTTCTGTGAAGCCTTACCTCATCATGCTTTGGCTTGAAATAAATTTCTGTCTGCCATTTTCTTTCGTAAAAAATTAAAATGAGCCAATTCGCTGATCTTTGTACGACCCTTGGAACCCCAAGTTCAGTATACGGTTACATGAAACAGTTTTGCTTCTAGAGTCTAGATATATTCTCTTGGACATGTACTGAATGTTGAATACTTGATATTTCCCCCCCTAATTTTATAATATTTATTCCCCTTATGCCAGCATGAACAAAGGAGGAGTGGGCCTCGGAGGTGGAGCCGGTGGCGGCAGTGGGCCGACTGCCGCTGCAGCGGCGGCAGCGGCACAAAAACAGAAAACTCTTCTGCAGAGAGTGGACACAGACATTGGAAATCTTGTTGATAATTTTGGGTACATAGTCAATGTGACTCGGGTATGCTGAAAATGTTTTCTATTTAAAGTTATTTGTGTTTTTAGAACCGGAGTTGTTCAATTATAGTATGCTCAGAACTGCATTTGCAGTTTAATGTTGTGTACAGCAGATAACACTTCATTAGGAAATTCATTACTTCAGAAATTTCATTTTGCTAAGCTTATGTAGCTGTTGTCAGTTTCCAGCTTTTAGGTAACTTTGGGAAGTTCAGGAAAGCCAAAGGAAGTAAATGGGAAAAAACGAGTATACTGACTACAAATGATATTACAATACAGCAGTAGTCTGATACACTCAAACTCAGCTATGCTTTCGGAGTTGATTGTTTCATAATTCTTGCTTGGAGACGTTGAAAGAACCGAGTTATTGAACAAATAATATTTGATTCACCTTCCAACTATCCATTCTTGGATTGTTTGTTAGTGTTTGAGTTTTGAACCTCATAGAGACAACCAGTGTGGTAATAAGAATATCTAAGGTCAACATGACATATTTCACGTGGGGCACCTCTTAAAATGCGTGCGTTACCTTAGGGTAGAGTAAGAATGTGACATTGCCCATTGGTAGCTAATTCGGTGGATGACTCTGTTTTTTTCCATTGCTACTTTGTGTCAATTAGTCGTAATTTTTTCACATTAATTTTTTAAAATTGTTGTTCCTTTGGATAGAATCTTAGGCTAAATTTGTAATGAATTAACTATTAGCAATGTCATCTGTCTATCTGCTCAATTATGGTATTCTCTTGCTTTGGTTCAATGTTGAATATGAATGAAGATATGAAGGAAACTGTAGTGCATATTTTAGGTTAATGATCCACCCGTGCGGAACTCCCAAGAGTCTTTCATGATGGAAATGCGTGCGGCTAGGATGGTGAGAGCTTTGTTGAGTTCTCTATTTACATTCCTCCAATTTCTGATTTAATAAACATATATTCGGCAAGAAAGAAAGAAATAAAAGAAAATTTTTGGTTTTATTTTATTTTGTATTTAATGCTGGTTGTGTGTTTTTTGGGTATTTGAACCCCCCAAATACCAGGTTCAAGCTGCTGACTCGCTGCTCAAATTGGTGTCGGAGTTGAAACAGACTGCAATTTTCTCGGGATTTGCATCTCTGGATGACCATGTTGACCGGAGAACTCACGAGTTCAATAATTTGGCTGAAAGTACAAATGGGAAATTGTCTAGAATTGGGGAGGAGGTTGCAGCTAGCCTCAAGGAACTCGAATCTCATTATTACTCGTCTGCACTCAGGACAAGCACCGTTAGTCCACACGAGGCTTCAGAGTAAAGGGAGGACAGAGGATTGTAATTTCTCATAGTAAAATAATGTTGTTTCTGGTGTGGTCCGGAATGAATTCAAGTAACATAGTTTGTATGGTTGGAAAACTAATCTCGTCTATAGTTGATTGATATGTGGATTGGCTGAGAGTATATTTACTTCACTTTAGATTTGATTAAGGTGCATGCATTGCACACTTTTCTTTTGATTTGATGTATATCAGACATTGGACTTGTAGCCTTGTGACTTTTCGGCCAATATAGGGCATTTTATATACAGGTTGGGGGTTCTGCCTTAACTCCCACCCTTCTGGGGTGCTGGTTAAAAAAAAAAAAAAGCTTTAGACGAGATATTAAGACATTTGGGGGAGTGTGTTGATTCGGAGCTTTTCGGACCACATAAAAAAGCGGCAAACTAAAACTACTGAAGGCATGCACAGGTTAACAAATTGGAATTGCACACAAATTAATTAATTGTCTCAATAAACTGAATAGCGTGAGTTGGAGCCTGATGGATTCATACTCAGATTAATTAAATTGAGAATTCCAATTATTTATTAATTACTAATAACAAAAAAAAATTAATAATTGAAACTGAATCAAACACTTATAATCAGCTGATGTATATCCTGAAGCAGTGAAGGAAACAAATTGATCGAGTGACAAAATAGTCTGACAGAGATAAATTGATTCCCAAATAAATCAATATATGAAGAGGCTCTAATACCAATTCATGGAATCAACTTTATGCGAAAGACATCATTTGAAAGAATTCAAGAGCGTGTATATCGAATAATCGAGAATCAAACTAAATAAGCGGAAGCGTACTGAATTATTCATATTGACTGATTGCGTTGGAACACAAATTTGAATCGGGATTTTGATTTGGGATTTGGAGAACTTTCAAAACCCGTGAACCTTTTATCTTCTATTCTGACGACAAAATTGATATAAAAAGAGGGGTCGATTTTTCTTCTTATATCTTTTTGAAGAATTCCAAAGGCCCCTTTTATTTATAGCGGTTTTTTGAGACTCCACCCATTATTAATTTTGACTTAAATTATTTTGTTAACTAGGTCACCTAAATTTAATATTATTATTTATACATTATCAAATAATAATATGTCGGGTGTCCACATTTAGTTATTCTAGAATTTAAATTAAGTTTCTTAGCAAATATATTTATACAATAATTTGATTATTTAATTTGGCTAAACAATATAATGACTCAATATATCAGTTCCATGTATTTAATCTCAAAATTGATCTAACATTTAATATATAATTCCTATCAAATACTGACAAATTTCTTCAGAACAAAAATGAAAATCAAAGTGATTGCGCGAATATTTGGCACTTTTATTCAAGTGTCCCTTTTTAGGCTTTTGTGTCGTGTGTGTATTGGGTCTAAAATTATATCTAAAGTCAGCCAGGCCCACTTACTTATCAACTGCGCTTTATACTCTCTTATTAAGGGGAAATAAAAAGATGGAATTAAAAGCAAACTTTCTATCGCACTTGGAATTGTTGGATAAAATCCTTGCAATCATTGACTACCACAGTGATTAGCAAAAAACCAAAGCAATTTTAGTTGAAATGACCATTTTTCGCAACTTTTGGGTGCCAAATGGAGTTTAAAGTCATGACTAAAGGTGTTCTCAAAGCTAATGAAGAGTCTTATCATTTAAGCTACATGAAATTGAGAGCTTCAAATGGTAGTGTGCATGCAACTATGCATGGTGATGTGATGGTCAAACAGATCAATGATTTTATTCCATATTTGAAAATGATCAATCTAGAGGATTAAGTATCGCCTTCAAGTTTTCTTTGTTTCAATTCTTTCTTAAAAAAGAGTATTTACTCCTTGACTACTTCTTGACTACAACAAAGATAGGTTTAGAACAACTAATTCCACATTATCAATTATTTAGATTGTCATATAAACTACAGTAATTTTCATTCTATGCCCCAATAAGTTTTAACTATCAGGTCTAATCGAATTACCCTACAAAATACATGCAACTATCACTGCAAAAGAATTGTTATATTTCAACAGAAAATCCTATGGTAATTTATTCTATTGGAAATTCCCAACAGAAATTCCAACGAAAATATTCCGTTGGAATGTGTTTTCAATTGAAATTTTAGATGGAGTTTGATGATTCCAACGGTTATTATTCCAACGGCTTTTTACTGTAGGAATTTTCGTTGGAATATGCAATTTCTGTTGAATTTTTATTTCCACCCCCGTTGAAAAATCGACCATTGGAATCGTCAAAATCCAGTTGAAATTCCAATGCAAAACTCATTCCAACGAAAATTTTTTGTTGGAATTTCCGTTGAAATCCATTAGAAAATTCCAACGGAAATAATAGCATTGAAAAATATCAATTGGAATTGCCGTTGGAATTCTATTTAAATATTTTTTTGTTAGAATTTAATTATTTTCTTGTAGTGTATACATGGTGATGTGATGGTCAAAGGGGCAGTGATTTTATTCCATGTTTGATTTCCCTAGATGATCAATTTAGAGATTAATTTGCTGCCCCTTATTTTGCCTCCAAGGGTTTTCATTAGTCGTATGAGACTAATAGGGTGGATAGGGCCGGAGTTAAAATTCAATATCTATCAGGGCTTAAAATATTTTTATGAAAACAAACATACTCAATAAATAAATTTTAAGAGTGACCAACTAAACATTAAATTAGTCTAAAATAATATCTAAATATAAATTAATTACTTAATAAACTTTAAGTGTGACTAACTAAATACTAAATTAGTCCAAAACAAACACTAAATTGAAAATAACTTACTGAATAAACATTCAGTATTATTTAATTAATGTGAAGTATGTAAATTGAAAAATGAACAAAACATGCAAAAATTTTTGTATATAATTAGTAAACAAAAGAACATTCAAACATAAATGAAATATATAAATAGAATATTAAATATTGTATAAAATTTCATATAAAATGTGAAACTAAGTATAAAATATAAACTAATGAAAAAAATTATATTTTTTATTTTAAGGAGACTCAAAATTAGTCTTTAAATAAATACCCTTAATAAATAACTTATACTCTGTCTAAATAAAAGCCTACTCTCCTAACCATGATTCAGTTTGTTATCAAGTCATAATCCACTTAAAGAAAACTTGACAAAAAATAATAAAGAATATAGTAAAACATATCAAGTTTTTCTTATGCCACCGAGCTATATTTTATTTAATTCTTTTAAATAAAAGGCAAAAAAATTGTATATTGTACTCCTATTAAATTGATGCCTTCTTGAGTGGAATCCGGGCTACAGTCCAGGCAGGCATGTGAGTGCCTCTGCCCCTGAGGGTGGGTGTCTAAATTCTTAAGTAGTTAAGTAGAGGGAAAAAGGATAGAACATGTATCGGAGTGATGATGGTTTGAAAACTGGAATAATTGGTTTGTGGAACTTATTTTTATTTTGAATAAAAGAATAATGTTTAGTCAATATATTTGTACTGTATATATGAAATTGCATCTTATGTCGTGTTATTGATATTGAAGATAATATAATGTGACGTTGTCACATAGAAGATTATATTATCAGTTTCTTGTACAATATAATTAATAAAGTGTTAACCGAAACATGAATGGACAAAACTATCGATATGGTTATAGTATAATTTGAGTTAGTTTATCTTGATTTAACCTCTAGGCTCGATGATAAATTCCCTACAGCTTATATAGGCTTGATATAATTGACATTTACATATTTACTACATTTTTCGAAAACTTTTACAATAATATGTATTCAAAATAACACCATACATAAGCTATTTATAAACTAGACATAAACTAAACATATTACAACAACAACAACAACAACATAGCCTTTTAGTCCCAAGCAAGTTGGGGTAGGCTAGAGATGAAACCCAAGAGAACCAATGGTAAGAGAAACACAAAAAGGGCTCGAAAACAAAAGGAAGAGATTGGAGCAAAAGAGAAAGGAGCAAAATTCACGGTTCTGGCACGTTGATTGCTAGCCTTCAAGCGCTCCTATCCACCGCTAAATCCTTGGAGATATGCCAATTTTTAAGGTCTCTCTTAACCGACTCTTCCCAAGTGAGTTTAGGTCGATCTCTACCTCTCTTTACATCATCGACCCGCTGTAGAACTCCCCTACGCACTGGTGCATCAAGAGGACTTCGTTGGACATGTCCGAACCACCTTAGCCGATGTTGAACCAATTTCTCCTCAATTGGAGCCACCCCGACCCTATCTCGAATATCCTCATTCCGGATTCTATCCCTTCTTGTGTGCCTGCAGAACCAACGCAACATACGCATCTCTGCTACACTTAGTTGTTGGACATGTTGCCTTTTTGTAGGCCAACATTCAGCACCGTATAGCATCGCCGGACGAATCGCGGTCCTATAGAACTTACCTTTTAGCCTTTGTGGCACCCTCTTATCACAGAGAACGCCCGAAGCTTGACGCCATTTCAACCAACCGGCTGCAATTCTATGCCTAACATCAACATCAATACCACCATCCTTTTGTAGCATCGATCCTAAATACCGGAAGTCTCCTTCTTGGCCACCACTTGCCCATAAAGGCTAACGTCACCATCATCATGTGTAGCCATGCTGATAGCGCACATCATGTACTCGGTCTTCGTCCTACTAAGTCTGAAGTCTTTCGACTCTAACGTGTCCTCCAACAGCTCTAACTTCCTATTTACCCCTGCCCTACTCTCGTCAACTAGCACCACATCATCAGCAAAGAGCATACACCAAGGGATATCACCTTGTATGTCCCTTGTGGACTCATCCATCACCAAGGCAAATAAATAAGGGCTCAATGTTGACCCCTGGTGTAGTCCTATTTTAATTGGAAAGTCACTGGTATCGCCCCACATGTTCGGACACACGTCATCGCATCCTTGTACATATCATTGATGAGGGTAATGTACTTAGATGGGACTTTGTGCTTTTCTAAGGCCCACCACATGACATTCCTCGGTACTCTGTCATAAGCCTTCTCAAGGTCGATAAAGACCATGTGCAAGTCCTTCTGTTGGTCCCCATATCTCTCCATCAACTGTCATATTAGGAAAATCGTCTCCATGGTCGACCTTCCAGGCATAAATCTAAATTGGTTTTGGGTCACATT